GCAAAGGAATACCAATAGTATTTTAGTATTTTAGCATGTGTTGGCACTAGATTTAAATGTGCAACACTTGGCAAATTAGAGTAACATTGTGTGTTACTCGTGATACATGAGAATGTGTTAGATTCTAATTGGTCCTTTTTGAGATAGAAATAGATATATAAGCAGCATGTATCTTAGCTTAGAATCATCATCAAGTTATGAAATAATCAAGTATTAGTTCATATGTCCTTTAATATCAAATAAAAATTGGTTGTGACTTATATTATTTTGGCCTTTTAATTATGTCGTCTTAACAAGAAACTGTCACTCATATTTTATTTATTATTCGTATTTATTATTTGCATTATTTATTTATTTATTTATTTATTTGCATTATTGTTTTTAAGATTTTTGAGATGTCAGGAAGGCATTATGTTATTTTTATTTTCGTGTGGCTGGCCTAAAGAGAGGCAGCATTTTTATTTATTTTTATTATATTCATATTTATTTTGATAAGTTTCTTGTTAAAGTTATGTCCAACTCCGTTATTTTAATATTTGATATTTAAATTATAAGTTTTGATAGTTCAGTAGTCTGATCTTTCAATTAAACACAGTCACTGTCAACTATTTCTAAATATTCTCATACGTAAGAACTAGAAACGGTTACAATATGAAAAAAACTTGTTATTTATTTTTAAAATTAATTTTTTATTTCAAACTCAAAATAATTATAATCATGAAATTAATTTTATTAATTTCTTATTCACAAAATTCTTTTTTATATATTATAATAACAAAAAAGTTAGATATTATCAGAATGCAAAATAAAAAATCACAATATAATAATTTATTAATTTATTATGATTTTAGAATTTTGTTAATTAATAATATTAAAAATTTTGTGATAGTAGTATACTTACAGAAATATTTTAAATTATATTTATTTAAAAATTTATTGTATATATAAAATATAAATAATATATTTAGCACTATAATATAAGCTTGAAATTCAATTTAAAAATTCATTTATAGAATATGTATACTTATAAAATCTGTATTTGAAAAATTTGATTATACAGTTATCTTTCTTTATAAAAACATGATCAAGTCATAAAAATTGATTCTTATAGAGAGTTATTCTTATAAAGAGATTATTTTTATTATCAATATTAATTATTTGGTTTTCAAAATTGTGTTTCTATAAAGAAATATTCTTATATAGTGTATTTTTATATAAAGAGATGACTTTATAATTTAATATAATCTGGTGCAAAAATTTTGATACACAAAAAATGAAAGTTAATAATTATTTCTAATAAAAATTATATAATATATAATTAATATTTATAATTTTTTTTTATATTAAATAAAATATATCATAATAAATAAGAGAAAACTTTTCACTTTTGAATAATAAAATTTGCAATTTTTAAAATTAAAAATAATTTTTAGATATTATTATTATAAATTTTTATTTTTAGAAATTTATACTTAACAAATATATTAATATATATAATAAATATATATTTTAAATTTTAGCAAAATTGAATTATTAATTATAAAGTAATTTAATATAATTTGATGTAAAAATTTAAATATATCACTTTGCTATTAATAAAAAAAATTTTTTATTTTTAATTTTTTTTTATTAAATATAATATTTAAATTATAATTAATATATTTATATAATTTTTTTATTAAATATAAATAAAAATAAAAATTTTTATTAATCAATAACTTTTTCAATTTGATTATTTTAATTTTTTTATATAGTAATTTATAATTATTTTTTATAAATTTATATAATGAAAAAAAATTAAAATTTTAAATTTTAAAGCTTAATTCTTCAACAACTAGTAATCCAATTTTGCTAAAATAAATATTAATTATATATTATATGATTTTTATTAGAAGTAATTATTAATTTTCATTTTTTATGTATCAACATTTTTGCACCAGATTATAATAAAGAATTATTAATAATTTACTTGTTTATAAATTATTAATTAAATTATAATCATATTTATTTTTTGTATAAAACAATAAAAAGATTTTTGAACTTATTTTAGTTGCTTATAAAAATAAATACAACTGGCTCTTAATATAAGAAAGATGTTTGAATTTATAATAAAAAATTTATAAAACATTTTTATATCAAGAATTTATTAGTAATTTTCTTATATTAATAAATTTATTTTGAGCTTAACTTGTTTATATTGAATTTTTTTATATTAAGAATTTTTTATCTTGAGAATTACTTATATATTATTTATTTTTAATAATCTAGTTAAATTATATAAATAATATATTTTAATTTAAAGTTTTATAAAATATAATCAAATAATAACAATACATATTTCAATAATAAATTACTGGAATATAAAAAATTATAATAAAATATAATAAAATATAGTAAAAATTAAAGTTTTCTTTTTATAATAAAATTTTAAATATTCTTTGTTTTATATATAATATATAGATTTTTTAAATTTAATTCAAAAATATTTCTGATTATAAAGTTGATTACACAAATTTTTTATAATTAAATTCTATTAAATTTTAATTTTAATTATAAAAAATTTGTATAATTAACTTTAAAATTAATATATTTTTTGAAATTAAATTTAAAAAATCTATAATATATATTAAAATAATATAAAAACAAAAATTATTTATTAATAATAATAAAAATTTTATTATAAAAAAATCAATTTTTATTATGTTTTTTGGATTTCTGATAATTTATTGTAGATGTGTATTAATTCTTAATAAATAATATAAAATATAACTTTATAGCTCTTGTTTTTAACTATAAATTAATATAAGATAATTTCTATTGAAGTTACCTTCCTAAGTGCACCCCCTCGGAACCATAGAAAATATAAAAAGTGCATTTAGAGAGGGTGTGCATTTATAGAGAGCAAAATACATAGAGCTCTTATAAGCTGGGACCAAGCTATACCGTGCATTTAGAGAGAATTTATATAATCCGCGCATTTATAGAACGTGCACTTAGGGAGATCTGACTGTATTTACAATCAAAAATTAAACAGGCAAATTTGCCTGCGAACATTTACAATTTAAGAGATAATTACGTATGTATTGCTACTTTCAAATCATTTAAATGTTCTACTAAATGATACCACTCGAATAATTAAACCTTGATGAAAAATCGCATAATTTATTTTGTTTATTGGAAATTTTGTGAGGACTATCGAATAAATAATTGATTATTCTAAATATTCCTCTCTAAATGGAGAAAAATAAAAATACATGTAATTCATTTTGAATGAAGTTTTTTAAAAAAATTTTATAAACATAAAAATGGGGTACGTATTTTTTTTAAAAATGACAGCCATCTTGATATTGTGTTTATATGTGTGGTGTGTGAAAGCGTGAAAAATAATTTAAGTACTACAGATTTGTAGTAAAGTATATAAAAAAACAAACAAATAAATAAGTTCTATATATACAAAAAAACACAAATTTCGAATAATATTCAAAAACTTAAAGCATGTTTGTGTGTATAATGGATTTTCTTTTTTGAAGCCCGGCCAATAATTAAATAAAAGTAATAAATAAATAATAAAGACATGGATTATTATATCTTATATACAAATTAATCCAAAAAGGCGTGTATAAACTTGAAGGATACCAGCGCGGGCTTTATGTGTATATAAACTGCAGTGAGGTTCTATAATGTTATAAAAAATAAGGATTTTAAAATTTTAATGTTTAGAAACATTTTTTATGGATAAAAATAAAGTTTTTGATTTTATGATTGTCCATTTTCTTCTTTGTTTAATGCAATTGCAACGGACGGGTCAAACGGATGCCGGACAAGCTGACCATAAAGTTTATCCGGGATTAGTTGGATCAGTGCGAGAGTTTTGTCGATAACGGATTTTGCTTGAAGTTCCGGCCAAGCTCTTATATTTAATAGTTGCATCGGACTATTTATATTAGTTGTTGATGATTAGTATTAATCGATAATCAAAGAAAATAGTTGATGATTGGATGTATTAAGTATATACAACCTTGACGATTCCAATAATTTATCTCGCATCATTATAAGTTGTGAAATTATACATATGATGTTCACGTGAATACCAAATGCAAATAAAAAGTCCCATAACTGCAAGACTTGATCAAGCGGAGGTACACACGCACAAACAGTAAGGACCACTAAAAATAATTATAATCAAAGATATTGAATAAGTTGAACAAATAATTTACAAAAAATATATAACTTAAAAAACTCACTTGGGAATGCATAAATCTCTGCCGTCAAATTTTTATTCTTTAGATGATCAAATAATACCGGATCTAATATCTGGAGACATTTATCTAAAAGCTGTGGCAAAAAATTCCGAAACTGTTAAAAAACTTAAGTTATTGGATCAAATGGAAGCAATTTTTATAATATTACTTTTAATCCACAATGAACGCCTTGCAATGTTGGAGTCACGTATAACGGACAACACGTTTGTATGAATGTAGAAAATGAAAAGAAGGCGTCCAGTTCCGACATTGTGAATAAAAATGGTGCGGCCAAGACATTCATTCCTTGGACATATGGTATATTTGTGTTACCAGACACTTTATCATTATTCACAGAATGGATAAAGCATTGTTATTATTATTATTATTATTAAGAAATATAAATATAAATAGCAGAATAAAACATACATTTAAGTTTCCACGCGAAAGCATTAAGTACACGAATCAACATATCTTCGTTAACACGTTGTAAAAACCGTTGATCTGTAGCCATCGTTCTAAAAGTGTCGTTTCTTACTTTATCATAAACACACGATCGACCTTTTTTTATCAGACGAACATATTCAGCCATTGAGACGTGATAAACACCAAGAAAATGCTTCCATACTCGAGAGCGGAGTGAAATTGGCCGAATAAGATTTTGAACGGATGGATCTAACTTTGGAAGATTCTAATAGAGAAATGTTGAATTATTTTTAGATCAAGTGACAAATTGTTTGTGTTTGTGTACATAACAGGAGTGTAATTAATTAATTAATTAAATCTGTTTAATCTCGCTTTTCTTTGTATTAGTTATGGGCAAATATAAACTGGTTATTTCGAGAAAATCTTGCTTTGACTGCTCGGAATTTATTGAAATGTGGCTTAACAATTTTGTTTATTTGTTAATTATCAAACTATTGTCTTCTTTCCTTGTTTCATTAACTAAATACGATGCTTGAGCGACAATTAAAAAATTCAAACACACATACTTCCTCAGGTAACCCCTCGTCCAAAATTATCTGCCGAAGCTTCTTCAAGGAAGCCTTAACTTCTCGTTCAGTACGGTGAGTAGTCGCGAGAATTTCTTCAATGCTATTCTGCAAATGCTGTTGTTTCGCATTTTGGTCAATGGTTGTAATTGGCCGCCTTCGATCAAAAGACCGGGGTTTCGGAGTCGACAACAAGTTTACTGGTACTATTACGTTATTTTTTTTGTACCATGAATTCATTTGAGTTTAGGGAGAGAAGATTGTGTGTGTTTGTTAGTTTTAAGGAGAAGACGTGAAAGCAAGTTTTGGCAGGAAATTGTTCTGTCTCAATGTGATTATGTTGTATTTTATAGACGCGTTGTACAAAAATTCACATGAGTATTTTTGCTTCAGTCGATGTTGATTAACATCTGTTTTGACTATATAACATGAATTTTTCTCTCCACCAACCTGCTTAATCGGGTTCGCTGTGTTCATTAATTTCGGAAAATTCAATATAACGAATGGTTCTAACCGAGTTTGGATTTGGACCGCGGATTAAACAAGCCCATTAAGAATTCCTAAGTGATATTAATGAACCAGATACAGTTTGTTACTAACGCTAAGTCATATATAGATAAGAAGGGTTTTTGACTATTATCGTTATCATATCACACTTTCTATATATATTGATATGTGTATTATCATTATTATTACTGGATAAATTTTTATATTTACTCTAAACGTAAATTAAAATACGAACCAGTCAACTTTATTTATAGTCTTCTACTCTATTGTAAAACTTTGATATTTAATTTATCGTTATAGTAATAAGATTTTCTACATATAAAAAATAAGCCATCAAGTTTTTATTATATAAAGGGGGGGGGGGGGTATTTTGACGAACTTTTACAGATAGTACAAATATTAGTATATTTATTATGCTAAAAAGCCAACTCAATTCTGTATAATTCTAGCTAAAATTACAATGACGTGACAAGTAATAAAAGGAAAAAAATGATCATTTGTGTGCTACATTCAAAATGCTAATTTTGTGAGGGTGGGAGTATTTTGACGAAGTAAAGAAAATATACAATCTAGCGACCATTTGATTCGTCATGTCTAAACGAATCAAATGGTGGTATTTTCATGTGATTCGGATCGAGATATCGCCTTGAAAATCACTGTATATATATTAATTATATCTTCATACCGATACGGTGATTTTCAAGGACGATATCTCGATACCCTGCATTCGAAATTACATGAAAATACCACCATTCGATTCGTCTAGACATGACGAATCGAATGGTGGAATTTTCACGTGATTTCGATTGCAGGGTATCGAGATATCGCCCTTTAAATTGGCGAAAATCTGACATATGACGTTTTTCGGTGCGATATCTCGATAACTAGCGATCGGAATCGCATGCAAATTCCACCATTCGATTCGCCTAGGCATGACGAATCGAATGATTGTATTTTCATGCGATTCCGAACGCTAGTTATCGAGATATCGTTACTTCGTAATAATATCTTTTTCGTCAAAATATCCCTTATGCATGCTTTAATTTGATCCAGCCTGTAAGATATATATGTATTTTGATCTCTCTAAATACAAAATGCAAGTTATTTATATTTCCCGTCGAGTTGCATTTAAAGAAGTCTAACTATACATATTAAAAGCATCATTTTTGAAATTGCAGATCTTGTAATGTAATAATAATCTGACCAATCAAAGTTTTTAATTTTTCATGTGATTTATAATGTAATTATTTTTTGCATTTTTATTGGTTTTCCTGCTTATATAATTAATGAATTGTATTTATTTGTACTACTGGTAGTATATTGTATTATATTGCAACACTTTTTGATAGTAATTATATTTTTAAATATTTTTTAATAATTCTTTAAATATATATTGTTGTATAATGATCTTTCATTATAATATTTCATATTATTGAATTATACATATTTTATATCTTATTGGATAAAGATCAAATCACGTAAAACAAGCAAACAAGCGAACGAACAAATGAATAACTAAATGAATAAGCAAATGAACGAGTAAATGAATATTAAACCAATAGAATTTAAGTGATATAGTCAACATGAATTCGTATAGCTAATAAATTATATCTTGAATTTGTATAAAAGCAACATGTATCGTAATTATTAGAATTAGATATGAACAAGTTCTTTTAGATAGTGTTATCATTTCTGTTGGTTTATTAACTTTTAAATATAGATCATGTGTTCTTTACGTGTTTTAATTAAGTGAGAGAGTTATTAAAGATTTTTATATGTTTAAAGTAATTAAAGTTGGAAGAGACTAATTTATCGAAGATAGATAATAATGTGTTCATTTTGTTGAACTGCTAGAATGAGTTCAGAATCTTCTTTTAATTCAAATAGTTTAATTGTTAAATAATCTTCTTTTATTGATTAATTTTTATTAAAATTATCTTTTTCTTTTATTATAAATCTAAATAATATTAATTAACTTCGCAGGGTAGTAACAAGAGGTTAATTATATTATTATAGATAACGTTGCTTGTTACAGACGAGAGATTTTTTAAATAATAAAGAATATAAATAAGAAAGAAAAAGGGTAATTAATGCTTGACTAAAAATCTTCAACTTAAGACTTATAATACGACGCACTTCTAAGAAAATTTTGTCAAAGAAAATTAAAAGATAAAAAGATAAGAAGATTCTAATCAAGAAGATTATTATCCAAAAAGATTATTATCTATAAGAAAATTAAGTATGAGAAGATTATTTTTTCTAAGCTAAGATACATGTTGTATTTATACAAATTATTATTACTCAACCTTCAAATATTAAAGTTATTTTTGATTGATATTAAGATTACAAAAAGCACTCGCTTGATGATTATATATCACTCGCTCTAATATTATATAAATTTCACTATTAATATCAATCAAATTTGATTATGTAGATTAATTAACACGTGCTTTTCATACCAATAATAATAATATGAATTAAATATGATTAGTATGAATTATAAATAATATAGAATAAGATAATATAAAAATAGAATAAAATAATATAAATATAGAATGAAATAATATGAAAATAGAATGAAATAATATGAAATAAAATGATAATAGTATGAAATAAAATAAAAATAGAATGAAATATTATAAAAATAGTATGAAATAAATATAAATGATATAAAATAAATATGAATATGATTTACAAATCAATTATTCAATGAAAATTAATTATGAAAAATCATGTGATATGTTAAAATTCATATCACAACAATACTATTTGTCTATTATTTGAAATTGTTATAATTTATTAGTCTAGTTTATAGAATTACATGATATATATTTTATTTTAATTAGTTAATAACTAAGTTTTTGCTTCTTAAAGTTAATCATTATTATTGTAAGTATTTAGTTCAGTTTTTGAATTCAATATCTTAATTATAATCAATTATATTATTCCAGTTTTTTAACAGTATTTGTATAGTGAAAGATCTTTAATAAGTCTCTTCTTACAGTTATAAGAGAAGTTAATGAATCAAGTTAAGTTTATTATTAAGAAGATTATATGTTATAATTATAATAGGTTCAAGATAATTTTATTAACAAAGCTTTTTTATTACTATATTTTTTACTATTGCTGTCTCAGTCAGCACTCTGTATATAGATTATACAAGTATATTGTTGTAATTAGATATTTTTTATAATCACAAATGATTATTTCACATGATCACTTCATATAATCACTTTAGATAATCACTCCAAATGATCATTACAAATGATCATTTCAACTAATTAACTCAAGCGCTCTGAATGATTATTGTAAATGATCATTCCAAATAATTATTTCAAATACTCTGAATGATTATTTCAAATAATCATTTTATAATTATCAAATACTTATAACTACAACTTGTATCTTAGCTTAGAAAAATAATCTTCTTACATTTTTAAATCTTCTTACCTTTTTTTTCTTATTTATATTTTTATATTTTCATAATCTTTTGAAGTTATTTTTATATTTGTTTTATAATCTCTCATCACTATTACAAAGTTATATTATCTTATATATTCTTATATTTGACCTCTCATCTATATTGCAAAGTCAATAATAGTATATCAGTATCCTTCAATTAAATCTTCGTCCAATAGTATTAATACATATTCTTTGCCTTCATTAGGTTATGAAATAACTGATCGTCACCTTCCAAGAGACTTTGTTACCTTTACGAAACCCAATACCGCGATTATGCTAACTTTTCAACTAATGATATTGTTCTGGCATGCAGACATGGTTATCATAACTATTGTCTGCAAAGATGTCAGTTTAAATGTTTGATTTGTTTAAATTATCTTCAAGATGAAGTTACAAAAAACGTTGACGCGTTAATGATAAGTTCAACAAGTTTAAAAGGTGTATCCGTTGAAAATGAATTTGTTGGTAACGATGGTGAAAATACAATCGAAGACAATCTGAACGATGCAGAAGAAACAACGGACAATATGGTGATAATTGAAAATTTATTAGAGCATACAAAAAAATCATTTATCGAATTATAAATTCTTTATTTTTTCTTTATTTAAGTCAGATTTACATACGAGTGATCTTTCATGTAAACACATTTGGATCATATTTACATATAAATCACTTTTTTGCTGTTTCGAAATCTACGATTTTGATTGGTCGGTCGATGACGACACCTTTTCGGAACTGATCTGCAATTTGTGTAATCGAGAACGGCCACTGATCAGCGTACATTAGATCAACAGCATCTCCAAAACAAAAACAAACGAGAAAGAAATGGCAAGCGTTGGAAAGATTGAACAAGAGTTGACGAAGGCAGGAAAGCAGCTACAGAAGGCGGAGAACGAGGTGACGACATTTAAGGAGAGTAAAAGTGGACGGCGACTGAAAGAGTTGGAGGAAAAACAGTTGGAGGAAGATCTTGATGAACGAGAGGCAAGAACGTTGGCCTGGCTGGAAGAGAAGGAGAAGGATCTGAAGAAGGACGTTCGGGACCGTTTGGAGCAGGTGGAGGAGCTGCAGCGAGCCCTTGCATCCTTCACAACCCAAACAGGTAACGACTTTGTGACTCGGGCGTTGGGGACATAGAGTAGTGTACATAGGGTAGAGTAGACGTAGTAATATGGTTTTGATTATAAGTTGCTATTGGATATTGTTGCCAATTTATGCTTTTTCCACTTGCTATGAATTTGTCAGTGAATAGTACGTAGGGGTTATTATTATTAATTTCGCTTTTTGTCATTCTTAATCACTTGTTGCTACCACTCGTGTGCCCGTTTAGTTACAGAAAGCCGACCCCGCTCGCCGATTACTGAATTAGAGAGCTCGTCTAAGCGTGCAAGGAGTAAGTTTTAAAGCAGAAATTGGAACTTGTGTCTCACTCAATAAACCCGTCATTGCTTCTAGCCCACCAAACTAGACAAAAAAATCTTGAAGTTCTCGCTGGCATTGCGCCTAGTAATTACGCCACTTCTAAATATGCCGAACACATCCCTGGCATAGCTATTCACCATCACAGACCCGCAAGCCTTACTAATATCCCAGTCAGGTTTTATTGCGAAATTTTCGAGAAATTTCAAAATCTATTTGGCGGTGATGTTGATATGCCTCCAGATGTCAAAGAAACATATACACAGCTCGTGTGGGAACTAGCTGCTCAACTATCAGATCTCGAGTCTGTGGAAGCGAAGCGTGAAGATATTTTCAGAAAACTCCTGGATTACCTTTTGGGTAATCTCACTCCGGCATTGGCGACAGAAAATTTCGTTGATCAACATTTTAGGACGGATGGCACGGTTTTCAAGATCATTTCCGCCACGCGGTTTCTAATCCTCAATCTGGAGGTGAAGACAGACTGGGGGACTCAGCACAATTCTTATCTACAGAATGCTGCACATTATGTTAAGATTCTGTCAGCACGTATGGAGGAATACGGAGATTATGCTGAAAATACTTCTTTGCCATCATTCCTCCTCACTTTAGATGGTATCCTTTTTTTTTTGTTTCTTGCGACAGTTTCGATATACATGCTCATGCATATTTAAAACATTTAGGTACACACCTCATGATCTGCGGTGCGGTCGTGGCTGATTTTGTCTGCGTGGACAAACTCACTCCATCAATTCCACTCGATATGACGCTCTATGACAACGGCATTGCTGAGATTGCAGTTCGCGCCTTGTGGGCTCTCGTGTCCTGTGTGGACGATCTCCAAAAGCACTACCAAGATCTCATAAACGGTCTGACAATTCCCAGTAAATTCACCAATGGACTTTACCCGCGGTTTCCAGAAAACATCACATATTTGCAGAGAATAGGAACAAAAAATCTCTGGCTCGCCAAAATGGAGGGTAATCAATCTCGATATGTTGTTAAATTTACACGACGGTACGGCAAAGTTGCCCATGAGACATGCTCAGAACTTGGGTTCGCTCCTATACTAAGGTACTTTGAGGAACTTTTTGGGGGCTGGAAATTGGTCATCATGGATTACTTGGAAGGGTATTCTCACCTTGGAAGGGTATTCTCACCTTAAAAGCCTCTCAGGTGCCGATTGTGCTAACAAAAAGCAAAGCGTTTTGAATGCAATTAGTGTATTTCATAATAAAGGCTTTGTTCATGGAGATCTTCGTAGCGTGAATATTCTTTTTGGATCAACTGGTGATGTGAAGTTTGTCGATTTTGATTGGGCTGGAAAGGACGGCGAAGCTCGATATCCAGAAAGCCTGAATCCCCAGATCAACTGGCACAAGGAAGTTGGGCTCCACAAGCCCATACGTTCTAGTCATGATCTCCACCTTGTGGAGGTTACCTTCAATCCCCCAATTGAAACTGTCAGGAAGGGTCTTTGCACGTGGAACAAAACATACTACTAACCTGAAAAAAACAAAGTTTGTTGTTTCTGCTAAATATGAATAATTCGCAAATGATGCTAATGAAAATTGCAATGTACTGTATATATACAGTCTGTAACAAAAAAAACCGTAAAATACAGACAAAATACAAAATTGTTTAATTTGCTTTGTTCAATGCGA